ATTCACGCTCCGCATGACCCCGAACGCTTGAAAGATGTTGAAGAACACATGAAGCTGATGCCGGAATTCCGTCAAAGTTTCTGGGAGAGTACCAGGACGGTGACTGCGCGTCAGTGGAAGCTTACGAAGCGTAACACTTCTTTCATTTACGTGCGAGCCTTGATGGTTATAGTCATGGGTCTCATCTACGGTAGCACCTTCTACCAGACAGACCCGAAAGACGCGCAGATGACTATCGGTATACTCTTCCAGGCGACGATCTTCATGAGTCTGGGTCAGACAGCTCAAGTCCCGACATTTTACGAAGCTCGTGACATTTTCTACAAGCAACGCTCGGCCAATTTCTATCGTTCTGCGTCGTTCGCTATTGCGAATTCATTGGCGTTGATCCCTCAAGCCATCGGAGAGAGTATCGTGTTTGGGTCACTGGTATACTGGATGGCGGGTCTTGTACCACATGCAGGACATTTCATCATCTTCTTGATCATTATGATGCTCATGAACCTCGTGTACGCCGCGTGGTTCTTCTGTCTGACCGCCATTTGTCCCAGTTTCAACATCGCCAAGCCCATGTCCACGTTCACTATTGTCATTTTCAACCTCTTCGGAGGTTTTGTGATGGCCAAGAACGTCATGCCCGACTGGTTGATCTGGGTTTATTACCTCGTTCCGGACTCCTGGTCTCTGCGTGCGTTGTGTGTGAACCAGTATCGTTCCAAGACATTCGACGTCTGCGTGTATGACGATGTGGACTACTGCTCGCAGTACAATTTGACTATGGGCGAGTACTTGTTACAGCAGTATGCAGTGCCGTCGAATCATGACTGGGTGTGGACGGGTGTTATCTATATGGTTGGCCTCTACGTGTTTCTCATGGCAACGGGTGCGTTTGTTCTCGAGTACAAGCGGTACGATGGTCCTGCCAATGTTTCGCTCAAGCCGAAAGATGATAACAGGGGTGAAGCAACGAAAGAAACGAGTGATTATGTACTGGCAACGACTCCAAAGAACTCTGGGACGTCGTCTGGGTCGATGCATGATGTTGCGTTGGATGTGCCTAGACGTGAAAAACTGTTCACTCCCGTGACGATCGCCTTCCAGGACTTGCACTATTTCGTTCCGAAACC